GCCTCCCGGTTCAGGTAGGGTCGCAACTGGCGCACCAGGCGAACCTGGGCAAATGCCCCCCTGGTCACACCAGGCGACCCTACCTACCCTCCTTCCCTCTCTCCCTCCTACCCACTCTCCCTCCCTCCCTCTCCCTCTCTATCTCCTTCCCTCTCTCCCTCCCTCCCTCTTTCTCTCCCTCCCCCTCTCTCTCCGTCTCTCTCCCCCTCTCTATCTCCTTCCCTCTCTCTCTCTCTCCCTCCCTCCCTCTCCCTCCCTCTCCCCCTCTCTTCCTTCCCTCCATCTCTCTCTCACTCTCCCTCTCTATCTCCTCCCCCCTCTCTCTCCCTCTCTCTTCCTCTCTATCTCCTTCCTTCTCTCCCTCTCTCTGTCTCCCCCTCTTCTATCTCCTTCCCTCTCTCCCTCCTACCCACTCTCCCTCCCTCCCTCTCTATCTCCTTCCCTCGCTCCCTCCCTCCCTTTCTCTCCCTCCCCCTCTCTCTCTGTCCCTCTCTCCCCCTCTCTATCTCCTTCCCTCTCTCTCTTTCTCTCTCCCTCCCTCCTACCTCCCTCTCCCTTCCTCTCTCTCCCTCTCTCTTCCTTCCCTCTCTCTCTCTCCCTCTCTCCCTCCCTCTCCCTCTCTATCTCCTTCCCTCTCCCTCCCTCTCTCTCTTTCTCTCTCTCTCTCTTCCTCCCTCTCCCTCTCTGTCTCTCTCTTTGTGCATGTTAAAGTATTTACACATCAGTCAAATAATCAAAGTTCTCTCCTGTCTAACAAAATGAAATTCAGTGGTGAAAAAAAGAAAAACCAAATGCACAGGAGCACGATATGTCAGTGATGGCGAACCTTTTCTGCACTGAGGGCCCAAACCGGAATGCCCGTATGCGCGCTGCAGCACCGCAAACACAAAGACAAGCTGGCCGGTGCACATGCGTGCGCCAACCAGTTGGGCTTCAAGTTTCTGGTGTGCACATGCGTGCTGGCCAGTTAGGTCTTTGGATTTCTGGCGAGCTGGCTGGTCCCAGTAAGCCACTGTTACACGGGGGAGTGTGTGTGAGTGGGACAGTAACCCCGTCTCCATTTTTCCCTCTTCTTTTTCTCTCCCAGGTCCTGGATGTTCCCCTGACGGTTAAGATCAGAACAGGCGTGCAAGAGAAAATGAACCTGGCTCATAAACTGATCCCCCACCTCCGAGAATGGGGAGCCTCGTTGGTCACGGTATAGGAAGCCTTGTTTTCCTTAACTCCGGTTGGGATGGAGGCCTGGATACTCGGCAAATCCGAGTGCTAGTTCTCCTTCGGCTGTTCCCCGTCCGGGGGTGGGGGGTGGGGCTCAGAGAGGAAGAGGGAGGTAGCATTCCTATCCCGTTCTTCCTCTTCCTGGGGGGCAAAAGTTCAGAGAGGCAGAGAGAGAAGCGGAGGGGGGGGTGTCTCCCAGCTTGGCAGCTTTTAAGACCTGTGGACTTCAGTTCCCAGAGTTCCCCAGCTGAGCAGGCTTGAAGGCATCCGAGGCTTGCTGTGTGTGTTTTCATTCGTGGCAACTGCACCTTTTTCTGCCCCCTGTTAGCTCCACGGCCGATCGAGAGAGCAGAGGTACACAAAGATGGCAGACTGGGGCTACATAGCAGAGTGTGTCCAAGTGGCCAGCCCCATGCCCCTCTTCGGTAAGTGGCAGGGGCCCAATCCTAGGGTTTCCTAGTGCTTCTGGGCCGGCCCTGGGAGGATGCTTCAACACGCGTTGTTTTCAGAATGGCCTTGACTGCTTCCCTTGAATTAGTCAAGACTCTTCTGCCTGTGTCTCTCAATCATCCATCCATACGTCCATCAATATCTATCTATCTATATCTATCTTCATCAATATGTATCTCATCTGTTAGGAAAGCTCCCCGTTGGGAGAGCGAGTATGTTCAGAGAAGCGTTGTGAGAGTTGTGTTGGAGAACACACAAACCAGCATACAGAGACACTGCAGTTTAAATAGGCTTTTGCTTTCGTGGAAATAGAGATATCAGAGTCCATCAAACAGTCCAAGTCATACACGGATAAGACAGTCAGTCATCAATGTCTTTCAGTTAAGGGATAATCCAAATAACATAGTCCAATAGCCATATGATCAGTCCGGTAATCAAAGCTTTGCTAGCAGTTGCAAAACTTACAATAGCTCACGGCACTTTCTAACAGCCAGCTTCCAAAACACTCAGATCAGATCCAGCATCTAACAGAGAGCTAATAGTCGTTCTGGCTCCCTCTTATGGCCGATTGAGGAAATAGCAACCAATCACATTTTACAGTATGATTTAAAGAAACAGGTACAACATTGTTACATGATTTATATATTGCCAACCCAACCATTAGAATTATATTCCTAACATGATCTATCCACCCACCCACCCATCCATCCATCCATGAATACTTTGCAGGATACTTCAACATGCATTGTTTTCAGAATGGCTTTGACTGCTTCCCTTGAATGACATTCACAAGACATCTTCTCCAGCTGTCTGTCTGTCTGTCTCTCATGTTTCTTTGCCTTCCATCTTGCCACCAGGTGACTCTGGGAGGCTTACTTTAAAATGAAGCCACAAATGAATGAATAAATGTTATATACACACACCCAAACGTTTATACTGTATATAATTCAACTTACAACAGTACATTTAGTGGCCTTTTAAAGTTACAACGGCACTAAAAATGGACTTATGACTGTTTCTCAAACTTAGGACTGTTTCAGCATCCCCATGGTCACTTGATCACAATTTATGTGCTTGGCAACTGACTCATAGTTATGACGGTCACAGCATCCCGCGTATCGTGTGATCTCCTTTTGCGACCTTCTGGCAAGCAAAATCCAATGGGGGGAAACAGATTCACTTAACAACTGCGTTACCAATTCAGCGACTGCAGCGATTCACTTAACGATGGCAAGAAAGGTCAATATTCACTTAACAACTGTCTCGCTTGGCAACAGGAATTTGGGGCTCAGTTGTGGTCGCACGTCGAGGACTACCTGTACATGTCTTTTCCCACAGAAATGAGGATTCGGAACCCGTGCCTTTACGACGTTTCTTGCCCCACACAGTTGTTAAGTGAATCACCGTGGTTAATTTAGCAACGGAGTGGTGAAGGGGATCTGGCTTCCCATATTCTTCGTGGGTCAGAAGGACCCTGCATCCCTCACACCATCTCTTCATTTATGTATTTTCCCTTTAACTTTTCATATATATATATATATATATGTATGTATGTATGTATTGTGTCACAACCCCTGGTATGCGAAAATAGGGAGGGAGCATACTGCTTCTCTTTTCTGTCTATCGGCTCACTCTGGGAGCCATCCAGGCAGAAAGCCGTTTTTTTTTATGTTGCCTTGTTACATTTGTGTTGCATTTGTGCTGATAAAATCTCCCTTTATTTATTTATCAGCACAAATGCAACATTATATATATAATGTATTTAGTGTCACAACCCATTTAGTGTTCCTCCCATATTTGGGCATACCAGGGGATGTGACACTAAATGCATACCTATTTCCCTGGCTCAGCTGATAAAAGGAGGAGAACCTTGTGGCTTAGTGGTTAACACATCTGCCTAAGATGTAATACAGCCCAGGCTCGAATCCCAGCAAGGGTATGGCTAGCTGAGGAGAGCTAAATAGCTTGAAATAGATCTATACTAGTCTCCCTTTATTTATATATCAGCACAAATGCAACACAAACGTAACAAAAAGGCAACAGTAAAAACATTGGGTTTCTGTCTGGATGGTCTCTTGTGACGAGCCGATAGACAGAGAAAGGAAGCAGTAGGCCTCCTCCCATATTTGGGGCATACCAGGGGTTGTGATATTTTATATTTTATATATATTTTATATATATATATATTTATATATATGTGTTTTCTGGGGTTTTCGCAGGTGTTAGTATGTAGGTCTAGTTATTCGGGTTTTCTCCCGCGTAGAATTGGAGATGTCTTGGCGACGTTTCAACGAAGTCTCATTCGTCATCTTAGATGACGAATGAGACTTCGTCAAAACGTCGCCAAGACATCTCCAATTCTACGCAGGAGAAAACCCGAATAACTAGAGACTTATATGTATATGTATATATAATAAAAATATATACATTTTCTTGCGGCGCAGGAAACGGTGATATTTTTTCTTTCGAAGACGCTAACCGAGCCCTGCAGAGCGGAGTTTCAGGGGTCATGATTGCCCGGTAAACAGCTTCTCTTCTTCCTTTCCTCTTCATATGAAAATTAAAATGAAAGCAAAAAAACCCCGCCCATTGCTCAATGGGGAATTCAGAGCGGCTTCCCTTGCCCCTCCCTCCAGCTGATCTCCTCCCTCCCATATATGTGGGGCTGGGGAAGACCACTGTCTCCAGCCCTTGTAGAAACTGTACCAGCTCACAACCAGAAACACACACACAGACAGACACCCTTTTGACGCGCTCTGCAGATTTTGACCGCTGTCCTCCTTGGTCACAGGGGAGCCCTCATCAAACCCTGGATCTTCACCGAGATCAAAGAGCAGCGGCACTGGGACATCTCCTCCCGGGAAAGGCTGGGCATCCTCCAGGACTACACGAACTACGGCCTGGAGCACTGGGGCTCAGACACCCAAGGCGTGGAGAAGACCAGGAAGTTCTTGCTGGAGTGGCTTTCCTTCCTCTGCAGGTGAGCAAACCCTCTTCATACGGGCTCTGCTGGATGAACCCTGGTGGGCAGGGCAGTCCTTCTTCGCAGGAGAGAGAACCGGACCGATTTGAGAGAACTGGAATTAAGACAGTAAAGCACTCAAAGGTGCTTTTCCAAGAGGCAACTGGGTTTTTCTTTGAAGACATTTTGCTTCTCATCCAAGAAGCTTCTTCAGCTCTTTTTATTATTATTATTTTTTTAGCAGATTTTTTGCTAAAAAACAGTCATTACATCAACAGTTTTTTTTTTGGGGGGGGGTGTTCAAAAGTTTTATTTTCTTTTAAAACAAACATTTTCATCATTCCTCAATCAGTAAGACATCGGAGTACAACTTTTTGTGTAT